TCCTCTTCCCCCATACCTGTATCCCTCCCCCACTCCACCTGGTGTTTCTAAGACTCCCTCACCAGTTTTTCTTTCCTCTTTCTCTTTGATAAATGTGCATTCACCCTCCATTTTCCTTTCTACTGTCTATATATCTCTATCTAAGCAATTTTATTTTTATCTGTGGTTTAAGTGAACATTTACATAGGCTAATGTCATATATTCTTGGAACCTCAAACCTATATTGCAAACTGCCTTTGATGTAGCTGTTTTTATGATGTATAGGCACCTCAAACTTAATATGCCCTAGTCTGAATTTATCATCTTTCCCACTTTCAGAATTGATGTTTTTTCCCTACATTTTCTACCCATGTAGATGGTAACACCATCTACCCAGGGACACAGGCTAGACATGTGATAAGCCAAGCTTGCTTGTCACCCCTAGATTCCTCTGGCTCAAAATCCTGTTGAAATTGCTCAAATGTATCTCTTCAATCCATCTGTTCATCTCTTTCTCTGATACCGCTGAACTAAAATCTTTTGTGCTTCTCTTCAGGATCATTCCACTAACTCCTGACCTGTTCTCCCTGCTTGCATCTTCACTTCCTCCTCCAGCCTGAAATTTGGTATCACTTTTCTTTGCCATTTTAGTTATTTATGCTTTTTCCCAGTTAGTATCTTTTTCAAATGAAAACATAGTATATTCTCTTTATAAAAACAGCCAAATAATTTATAAGGTTATAAAGAAATTTAAAGTCACTCTGATTTAAATCTTATTCTCAAATAAAAACTCACCTTTCCCCCCCTTAAAATAGGATATTATTAAACATACTGTATTTCTTCTACTTTAACAAGTAGTTGCCTCCCTCTGCCCCACATTTTAACATCTCTGAAACCAAAATGTATCATACAATCAATGATGTGTTACATTTGGTTAAATATACTCTTGCTCTGAAATGTGCTATTTTTGCTCATTAATATGGAGCTTCCATACCAACATTTAACTCCAGGATAATCTTTCCAGAGTTCACCTCCTCTATTCAAAATTGTCTTTTATTGGAAAATTATTCTGATCCCAAGTTAAACCTGGGTTCTTTTTTTCACAGCCCTCTGTTTCTCTAGCAACTGGTACAAGTCCTTGTCAAATCTCCTTACACACAAGATCCTACAATTTCTCTGGTTTGTTCTTCCCCATAAATTTGTGAGCATATATATATATATATTTTTCTTTATTCCCGTTTAAAGTAGCGCCAAGTAACATAGGTACTCCATCTAAATGTTTTGGAAATAGGCCTTCCCTGGTGGCCCAGTGGGTTAAAGCACAGCACTAAGAAGCTAAAGCCACTTCAGCATGAGTTCGATCCCCACCTGGAGGTGACCCAGGTGGCACAGGTGGGGCCAGGGTGCTTTGGTGGTGGAAGAGCTACTCCTGAGGGGAGAAGCTTGTACTGTAAAAATATTAACGGGATGTAAGACAATGTTACTTCATTTTAAAAAAACATTAAGCCTTTTTTAAAGGCTGCTTTAGCCCTTTATTTTTTAATTAAAAAATATTAATTATTTATTCATACAGAAGTGGGGTATAGGCCAGAGGCTCAGGGGTAGAGAGAGGATTCACGAGAGAGGAAGAGCGCAGAGCAGAACAGGCAGATGGAGGAAGTACATTGCTGAGGGGAGCAGTGGGTGGGTCAGGAGAGGTCTGCTGTGCCTTGAGGATCGCTTCCCAGGGGCCGGGATTGAAAGCACAATGAAGGAGGCTGGAGGTTGCTGCTTGCTTGCAATGCTGCGCTCAACTGGCTGCACCACCAGGGAGGGCCCAAAAATTAAGCATTTTTTTAAAATGCTCTGTGAGACAAGGTGAGGAACATTCTAATTAACCATCCTCTTAACTTGGGACAAGAGAGATAACAAAGTAGACAATCTATAGAATCTTAGCCACCTGGGTCCTCAGAAATCAAAAGTATTTGGATTTATTTATTTTCTTCCCTGACTTTCTACTCTTCAGAACTACTAATCTCACCTTCAACTGAAGATAATGTGGTTTCAACAGCATGCCCTGGAGGACACTCCCTTTCTCCCTCATCCATTTAGTGTATCAAGTTCAAACCTCTGCCTATATCATCACCCTGTTGGACACCATTCTCGATCTTACAGGAGAAAATTTGAAAAGCACCATACAGGGTTTCATTCCTCCCTTGCCACTCTAAAATGCCCACCAGTGTTTCCCACTTGGCCCCCACCTGTCTCAGGTAGGGACTCATCTCTAAGTCCCACCAATACTTAATACCAGGGAAAAAACCTACAAAAAGACTGAAATGTGCACAAAAACCTTTATTTGAATAACTATCCTAAAGTTTGGAGTTAATGCTTTACCTCAGTGAAAAACCATTATCATCTCTCCCTCTTAACCTACTGTGGGTTTGGAGTTTGGGTTCTATAAATGCTCATGACCTTTGCAGCAACATGTATGGAGCTGGAAGGGATCATGCTCAGTGAAATGAGCCAGAAAGAGGAAGAAAAATGCTGGATGGTTTCACTCATAGCAGGAAGGTAAGGAGGCGGGGGGAGGAGGGAAGAAAAGAGAGAAGCATATGTAATAAAGTAAAAATGAAAACAACAAGCAACTTTAAACCAGAGACATGTTATGGGATAGAAAGGGGAATGGGATCAAAACGGGTGGGAAGAGCACACAGGACTGTGGTGATGGCACATGGGTGAAGTGGTGGGAAGTCCACGGGGATTACAACTGAGATGAAAAATGCACAAAATGAAGAATGATGTAAAAATAAATAAATAAAAATACCCAGAATGGACAGAAGTGTTTCCAGTTCTTTCTGACCTAGATAATAAAGCCAAGGAGTCCAATTCATCCATGGAAAAGTACCAGGGTGCTATCAGGTACTCAAAGCTCAGCTCGTGTGGCCAATGAAGCAGGCACTGAGATTAGCTCATGCCAAAACACTCTGTCAATTGTGGGGACAACATATTTTCAATATCTGGTCTTGCCCAAAAAGTCAGGGACTCCTGAAACAATCAAAAGTAGTAGAGCAGAATATGGAAAGATGAGGAGAAAATAGGAAAAAAGAATGCCAGATGACAAAGCAGGAGAAAATGGAGACTTGATCATAGGAAACAGATGACAGAGGATTCCTTATTTGCTCTCACAACTGGGGCAGAGAGTAAACAAAGACATCATAACTGAAAGAAATGGGAAGACAAAGCAATGTTAAAGAATGGGTTGGGTATTGAGCCCATTAGGTAAATAGATAAGGCAAGAAAGGGATATTGAGCATGTAAACTGGATCCCTAAAGAAACAGGCTCTTATGCTGTTATATGTCAAATAATTTTTTTAAAAAAAAGTATATTGTGGAAAAATCTTTTAAATAGAAGACTTGTTTATGTGAGTATTTTAGAAAAAATATTAAGACAGTGATTGTCAGTTCACTTTTTATTTTGTTAGTATTTCTTGCGGTCATATTGATATGAAAAGGCATGGCATGTGTATTTTTGTTTGTTTGTCTTTTAACAAAGAACTATGGTTTAACAGAAAAAAGAAAGAAATGGAATCTTAAAGCTCAGGATTATTATAATAAGGCAGTGTCAACACGTAGACAGATAAATTGAGAAGGAAAATAGCTGTTTGGAAAAGTGCTGTAATTTCATGTCTTGAAGAAGGCCAATAAAAAAGGCAGTTTAGGTCTACAAGTGGACAAGTAATTAGAAATTGAAGTCCACCCCTCCCCCACCCCCACCCCGAGCGCCCACGCCCTAAGGAGATGTAGAGTCACCGGGACCTTCTTCCAGCGTCAGGAGCAGTGGCATCAAATCAGGTGAACCTGTAATCAGCTTAACACTTTGAACTTTGGAGGACACTTCATGTTCGGAGAGAAAAGACGATTTCACCTCTAACGTCAACACAAAAGAGACTGTACAAATCTGTTCACAAATTTTAGAGCAAATAAAATCAAAGTAGCACCAGGCATCAACTGGCGAGACATAATTCATAATCATTTGAGCTGCTGAGGCAATGAACGATCGAACAGTGATTTCCCCCTGTACCTTAACATGAGACAGTTAGGGAGGAAAAAGAAGTAACTTGTAACCTGCAGGATGATTTCTCTTTCCAGCACAGACGTGGGTATAATTTGGACCCTTAGCACAGGGGCCCTGGCGAGCCGCAGCACAGTATCTCCAGATCAGGAGAGGCTTGTTTTGGATGAAAAGTGAGTTTCCCGGTCCCCGATCCTGCCGCAGGGAATGTGAAATTATTACCCCACAGCCGTCATAAAGGCACCTTTTGGAGAGACCACAGAATGCAGGTTAATTTGCACCTTCTTCCCCACCCATTGATTTTAGTGGTAAGTTCGGCAGCGCAAGGAGAGGGCTGGAACGGATCTACTACTTTCGTTTCCCGGGTGGCGGAGCCCCAGAGGAGCGGCCCGGCGCCTACCTGCCTTCCTTTTCCCGGGCCGGAGCGACCGTGCGTCCTGCAGGGCGGCTCGCCGCGGCTCCGCCTGCTCGCGGTTGCCGTCAGCTTCCAACCTCACCTAAGGCCGCTCTCTCTGGCTGGGGCCAGCCTGACTCATCTGGGATGGGTGGCAGGAGTGGGGGAAGACATCAGAGGGCGGAGGGACAGCAGAAGGCGGGTCGGGCCCTTCCCCCCAGCCAGGGAGGAGGCGTCGCCTGGGCGCAGGTGAAACCGACTCCGACCTATCCCGGGAACTTTCGCGGCCAGGACTCGCAGCGAGAGGCTAGCGTCGCTCAGGGGCGGCCCAGGAGCCGCCCTCTCCCACCCAAGCTGCGCGCGGGGGCTTTTCCCGGGGACCGTCACCCCGGGGGCCCGCGGCCCTCTCGGCGCGCGGGGAGGCTGCGAGCACCACCGGCCTCCGCGGCTGATGGAGACGAGTGACACCTCCCGGGGCGCAGGTGACACTCGCCGGCCCAGTGTTTCTGCTGGCGGGAGACAGCGAAGGGCGGACGAGGCACAGACCCCCGCGCGCCAGGAGACGACGAGGCAGAGATGGCCCGGGAGTTGAGCCAGGAAGCGCTCCTGGACTTTCTGTGCCAGGCCGGGGGCCGTGTGGCCAACGTCGCCTTGCTGAGCCACTTCAAGAGCTTTCTCCGAGACCCCCACGCGTCCCCTGGCGAGCACCAGCGCCGCCGTGAGCTTTTCAAGGGCTTCGTCAACTCGGTCGCCGCAGTGCGCCAGGACCCCGACGGCACCAGGTATGTGGTGCTGAAGAGGAGATTCAGGGATCTTTTGGGAGAGGAGGGGCTGCAGCG